AAGAGCTGGGCGAATTAGTAAGTAGCTATATACTCGTACGTGTTTCAAGACACACCAGGCACATGTAATGCGGGAGTGCACAGTATCTGCCTGAAGGCAGGGAGTGAACCCAAACGGGCTTACAACTATCGTGTACCTCTTGCCCTGAGAGAAGAGGTTAAACATCAGATTCAGGAACTGTTGCATTTGGGGCTGATATACCCCGCGGAGAGTAACTTCGCGCACCCGGTGGTATGCGTGACGAAAAGGGACGGGGGCATACGCCTGTGCATTAATTACAGGCAGCTAAATGCGATCACTGAGCCTGATGCGTTTCTTATGGGTCGTGCAAATGAACTGCTTTATGAAGTATCAGCAGCCAATTACATCACGGTAATTGATATGCTACGCGGATATTGGCAGGTACCTCAAGACAAGGAAGCAAAGAAATACACAGCTTTCGTCACTCACGAGGGGCAATATGCGTGGCAGGCGATGCCTTAAGGTCTGCGAAACTCGGCAGCTACTTTTCAGCGCATCATGAATCAGGTTTTGGAGCCGCACAGGGAATATGCTTGCTCGTACATTAATGATGTGGCGGTGAACTCAAACACATGGCAGGACCACATAAGTCACTTAAGGCAGGTGCTTCAAACGGCGGCCCAGGTGGGACTAACCACTAATGCTGAAAAGTGCAAGTTTGCGTAGCAGGAATTCAAATACCTTGGTCACATTGTAGGTTCAGGTAAACACGCACACGACCCAGAAAGGCTTATGGCAGTTCAAAATATTTCTCTGCCGCAGGATAAACGCGAACTGCGCAGCTTTCTCGGGCTGTGTAATTACTACCGCGACTACGTGCCTGGATACTCTACATTAGTGTTTCCCCTAATCAATTTGACAGAGCGCCGGGTCCCACAGCAAATGCCGTGGAGCGACGCCGCGCATGAAGGCCTTTGAATCCATTAAGGAACAGTTATTGAGTGCGCCGACACTTCACGCACCTGTCATCAGTAAAAGCTACATTCTGGCTACAGATGCATCTGATGTGGCTTTAGGGGCTTGCCTTTCTCAAATCGACGAAAATGGCAGGGAAGTGCCGGCGGCTTTCCTCCGCAAAAAGAAATCACAGCATATCCACGGAGTGAATGATTATTGGTGGGGCGCAGCGTTCGTCAGTCTGTCTGTCCATTCGTTCTTGCGTCCGCCTATCTGTGTGATCCTTGGTGCATCCGTCCGTTTGTTCATTCGTCTATCTGTCCGTCCATCTCTTTTTGCGGCCATCCCTCTGTCTGTCCGTCCGTGCGTGTGCCAGTCTGTTCGTCCGTTCATATGTCTAGTGAAAACTCCAAGCACAGCCATCTCACATCTTTTCATCGTGTATTCATCATATACAAGTGCCCCCATCCAGCAGACATTGTAAGGACCGCTATTTCGGGTATGTGCCACTGGTGGTTACGTACTACGAGGGACGCACAAGCCACGCCATAAGGAGCTTCGCCCCTAAAAGCGAACGCCGGCCGAAACCCGTTGGGCCACGATTGAGCGGGAGGCTTATGCGGTGATATGGGCATTGCAGCGTCTTCAGACGTGGCTTTTCGGCGCAAACGTGACAGTTGTGAATGATCATAATCCTCTCAAGTTCCTCACTTTGACTTCCCCTCAAAGTGCACGGCTGATGCGCTGGGAACTGGCACTGCAATGGTTTAATGTAACGATTGTGCACAAAAAGGGTAAACTCAATGCAAACGCGGACGCGTTGTCTCGGCTGGCAAGCCCGCACTCTGCGGGATAGGATATCAATGCATGCATATGAATGATACTGGTCATGACACTGTGGGCTTTTAGTGGAGTCGGACATTTATACTTTGCGATGGCTCCGTGATTGACCTGTGCTATGCAGCCTCTTCAGGAACCAACAAATGTATACACGTGGGACATCGATGTGTTGCATCACGAGACGTTTATGCAACACAGTGGCTGCAGAGGTGTCGGGCGAAGCGACGCAGCGCCTGCGGCTCGGATAAACAAAAACGAGCTGCCGGCGAATGCCGGTGCTTGGCATGTATGCATCGACTGGCTACGGCGGTGTTTCCCGGCAAGCGAGCCTTCAAGAACGCGTAGTGATGGGGGCCGGAACATCTCTGTCAGCGGACTGTACGACCAGGCGTTTGGGCGCAGGTCATTGCGGGGATCTCTGACAGCTACGGCAGCGAGCGTCTACACAACGAGCTCGGAGCTCCAATTTACGACTACAAGTGCTCGCCACAAACTGCGACTCTGCTGCGCTAAATGGCACGACGACTATGGCGTTGCAGACCCCATCGACTGGGGGCATTCGAGCATCGTGCCCAAACCGCGGGACGTGACTTCTGCCCGAGAACGCCGTGCACGAACTTTGAAGACCCCGTGCAGCAGTGTTTATAACAGACGCGCGGGGAGCGTTCAGGGAGAGACGAATTCCGGAGCGCGCCAAGTGCGCATGGTGAATAAACCAACTGCATATTCCCAGTCAAAGTCTCACTCTCAGCAGCTGCGTACGAGAGCCGGTCTTCTCTGTTTGCACCGGAGAAAGGGGCACACACACGAACTTCACTGGGAGAGAGAAAGTTAGGTTGATTGATTGATTTGTGGGGTTTAACGTCCCAATATTACTATATGATTATGAGAGACGCCGTAGTGGAGGTCTCCGGCAATTTCGACCACCTGGGGTTCTTTAACGTGCACCCAAATCTGAGTACACGGGCCTACAACACTTCCGCCTCCATCGGAAATGCAGCCGCCACAGCCGGGATTTGATCCCGCGACCTGCGGGTCAGCAGCCGAGTACCTTAGCCACTAGACCACCGTGGCGGGGCGAGAGAAAGTTAGGTGGGCATGAGATTAGGATGTTTGCGGGTATAGAGTGGCAGCAACGAGCACAGGACCAAGGTAACTTGCGTAAAATGGGAGAGGCTTTTGGCCTTCAGTGGGCGTAGTCAGGCTGATTATGATGATGAAGTAGTTTCCTTCCTTAATCAGGTTAACAGTATATAAATATTTGGTATGTGACGTTGCAAAGGTGGTGCCTGATCTTCGCGATACGTTCGGGGGTTATCTGTATGATGGCGCAAGTGTACATATTTGGTGCAATGAGCGAATATAGCTCAATTGGAAGTTAGCGCCGTCCTCTTGTGCCGATTAATGCTCGGTCATTTCTTCTTTACCGCAATGCGCTGTACCAGTTGAAGTACGACGAACCAACTCGAGTAATCTTGCAAGACGAGGTAGTCGGCATGAGTGCATCGTAACTTATTTTTAGCGCACGCTGACACACGAGCGCTGGTGTTGTACCTGTCTTTTCGTTGTCAGTGTGCTCTAAAAATAAGTTACGATGAACCAACTCGACATATCTTCAGCTTTTGTTAACCTGCAACCTTTGAATCTAAAGCTAAAAGCTCTTAAAAATTCCCATTTATTCCTTCCTTCAAGTTAAACTATGTCATGGGAAGCGTATCCTCGAAGCAGAATTTAAAGAAAGTGACGCTTTCGATGTCGGAGCATTAATTGATTGCCCGTGTCGTTGCTACTGAAGCTTAAACGGTCACTAAAATTAAGCAAGGCTTTTTCGCTAATAAATGAATATATTTTTTTCATTTAAGACCAGCAGTATCTTTCGAACGAGGGGGGGGGGGGGGGGTAAGAGGAAAATAACCCTCGTTCTGTCCCTAACTCCGCTGATGCTCACAAAAAAAAAAGAAAACAAAAAACTGTTGTCACGAATCATCATATATTTGTTCAGAACCGAAAATGTCAACGGTTCGCTTTTAAATTTTGCGCTGAAAGCTTCACACGTGTACGTCCGCACGACGTTACGGATTTCAATTAGATTTATTTTTTTTTTCTCCTAATTTGGCTGAATCGGCCCAGAGAAGTTTCCCGAAAACGTGGTATGTTTAACACATTGTCCCCTTAGGGTTCGTTGTACAGTACAGGCAGATTAAACACGACATAATGTTTTTAAAAATAAAACAGCTCGTACGCGCAATTGCTTGGGATAACTATATGTCGCGACAAATTCAGTCTCTAAAAATAATGTTGGCTCTGATCTGCGTTCGAGACGATAAGTGGACCTAGGCCGGACTGAAGAGGGTGTAGACTAAAGTATGTGCATTACTTAGCCTTAAATTGTCCCGTGTCAGTCCGCGAGTACTGTCCTCATTTTCATAGACTAAGGCCCTTGTAGGTACCGTCAAAATCTTTTGACGTCACGGAGATTGGTGCAGGAAATTGAAGTTACTTTCTGAACGTTTCCTCGCTTATCAAGCATTTTCCCGCGGAAATTGTGATGGTGTTGGTATTTTGAGAGCGCAGTTCACTAAATAACTGTGAACCACTCAGATGCCTGTAAGATGAGTCAGTTTCTCAGCAACAACGCGCACGGAAATCGAGGACGGAAATCTGGGCTAGCTTATGCGAATGCACATGAGAGCAGGTAGCACGAAACAACTAATCGCGCTCGTCTCGTGTAGAATTCGCTTGCTTTCACTTTTTAGCATGTTTTCACTGAGTTGCCTCATGTCGTAAGGAGATCAAGATGTTGTGGCATCGTGCTATTCCTCGTGGGAAGAGTTTTTCTTTCTTGGGAGCCGATGCGGCGCTTTCATCTTCGACAAATAAGCTTGTATTCTGACAATAAAATCTAGCTTGAAGTTCGAGCTCATCTCGTGTGCATGATCCTCGCTTGGGTGTTCGTAGTTTCGCGCTATGCCTGCTGCAGTGTGCAATGCAGAAGCGCCGAGAAATTACGCTGCGGGTGCGAAGGGAGTTGCGCATGAATGAGCACCCTTTCGAGGTAGTCATACCGAAAAGGCTCCATCTGTCTCGCGATGGGAGACGGCGCCGCATTGTTTGGAGCAGACGATGCCTATCTGGAGAAGAAGCGCTGCGGGCCCGACGGCGACGTGGCGTCTTCTCCACCGGAAGGAACTCCCTTTCCTTCTCGGAAAAGCGTCTTCGAGATCTCTTGGCGGCGCCGGATGCTTTTTTATCTCGTCCGTTCTCCTTGCGGGAAACCTGTTTGCGCTCAGAAGCGCAGATGTGCGCATGCGTCGCTTCTTCTCCGTGCGTCGCTTCAAACTCCCAAGGATGCGCCGTCGGAATGAACGACGCGGCTGACGACCGCCGCCGCAACAGCAGACGACGCAGCAAGCAGACGACACGTCACGCACGCCAGCAGCAGGTAACGGTTGCCTGTCAGTCACGAGGCAGGGAGCCGTGCCGCCGTGGGTCCACCGTTTTTGTACCACGCACGGCATCGTTTGCAAGGAGGCGCCCCGCCTCGATGATGATGATGACTCTCCTTGCTCCAGTTGTGTAACGTCTGCGAGGCCATCAGCCGCGCCGCGCACGGTTCGAGTGCTCATGAGGTGTCTCTTGCCTGGCGGATATAATCACCGAGTGTGCGTCAAAAGTAGGTCATCACTCTTATTAGCTCCTTGTGGCGTCAAGAGTGCGACGGACACCGATTGGATTACCGAGAAGACCCCATGACGCCATCGCCTGGTAAGACTTGTTTTCTCTCACGTGATGCCATGAGTTGACTGGCCACAAGATGGGCGGCTCTTAACCTTATCCCGCGCGAACCTTGACGCCGTAGCAACAACGCCACAATCATATCCTTCGGTAGCTGCCGCTTCTTCTTTCTTTCTTTCTTTTTAATACGCATCGTTATTCGTTCTGTACATATATTTTTTATGCGTCTAGCTCGAAGTGTACTTCATTTTCCTAACCTTTAACCAGAGAAGAATTTCGTAAGAGTTGAAATTAACGAGTCCTACGGAATGCCTAGAGAGAATACTAAACTTGGACCCAGCTTGCAGGGCGTTCATTCTCTGTTTCCGGCAGTCTCGTACTTGCAAGGTTTTGGTGTAAACAACAAAACAGTATAACAGTGGATGCCAGTGCGGTTGCCGCTCGAGTTTCGTAAAGCGTAGTGACTGCCAGGTCAAACAAAAAGAAACATAACGGCGGAGGAGCCATGCGAAGACTGAGCTGAAGTTGTTTGCAGCCACCATTTGGATGAACAGCAAGAACGGGTATTCAAGTACTATAAAAAATAATGGTATTTAAGTTGATAAGTTGCTTAACAAAAGGTCAGTGTGCCCGAGTGTGTTACGCCAGTGAGCATTAAGGGTAATCATCCCAGTGCAGTGCAGGACCGCTGAATGCTGGAATGATGCACATCATCAGTCGTATTGTTTCGTTTTGTTTCTTTTGCACTGCATGTACTAAAAGTGCCATATATTCCGATTCAGTAGTTCCTTTAGGTAAATATATAAGTTGACCGTTCAGTCAAGCAGTGGGTGTCCAGGAACGCGTAGCAATGACAATTATGAACTTTCTTACAGCGCAACACTAGAAAAAATACAGGACAGGGAAGGAGTAGAACAGAAAGAAAAGACGGCGCTGACTCACAACTGTTGTTTATTGGAAAAAACGGGGTGAAAAATATTGGCAATATATATAGGTCCCGGCAGCCTACACCACAACATGCGCAGAATACGAGGTGCATCGAGGTAGCGTTATCACACTCATGGCAATAAACAAGCTTGGCCTAAATAACTTAATTCTTTTTCATGCAGTGTGACGGATGGTTCACTAACGCACTTGCTACCCCTTATCTTTATATGATATGCCTCAGCGATTTCTCTAGTTATCTGGTTAGGATGTTTGAAGATGATGGTCGTTCTCTCAAAAATGGGACGACAACCGCATGACCTGCAATGTTCCGGCAGATGAAGTCGCGCGATCCCTTGAAGAGATAACTCATGCTCTCTTAAACGAACATTCACACATCGTTTTGTTTGTCCCACGTACTCCCTGCCACACGATAATGGAGTTAAATACACAGCTTTCTTTACGCATGCGATGTACTTGTTTTTATGATTCACGGCGCATCTCCCTTTGGCCTGTTTGTTCCTCAGCGCATTATCAACCATCGGGCAAATGCGACCTACCTTATGTTTGGCGGAAAAAAGAACGTCGACACCATACCTTGAGCCTACATTTTTCAACCCATGCGCCAATTTGTGTACATAAGGAAAAACTGCTCTTTTTTTTTTTTCCCTCAGAATTTTCTTGAGCTCCTCTGCGTTTCACGAGCTTAACGCTCCTTGGGTTGAAAAATGTAGGCTCAAGGTATGGTGTCGACGTTCTTTTTTCCGCCAAACATAAGGTAGGTCGCATTTGCCCGATGGTTGATAATGCGCTGAGGAACAAACAGGCCAAAGGGAGATGCGCCGTGAATCATAAAAACAAGTACATCGCATGCGTAAAGAAAGCTGTGTATTTAACTCCATTATCGTGTGGCAGGGAGTACGTGGGACAAACAAAACGATGTGTGAATGTTCGTTTAAGAGAGCATGAGTTATCTCTTCAAGGGATCGCGCGACTTCATCTGCCGGAACATTGCAGGTCATGCGGTTGTCGTCCCATTTTTGAGAGAACGACCATCATCTTCAAACATCCTAACCAGATAACTAGAGAAATCGCTGAGGCATATCATATAAAGATAAGGGGTAGCAAGTGCGTTAGTGAACCATCCGTCACACTGCATGAAAAAGAATTAAGTTATTTAGGCCAAGCTTGTTTATTGCCATGAGTGTGATAACGCTACCTCGATGCACCTCGTATTCTGCGCATGTTGTGGTGTAGGCTGCCGGGACCTATATATATTGCCAATATTTTTCACCCCGTTTTTTCCAATAAACAACAGTTGTGAGTCAGCGCCGTCTTTTCTTTCTGTTCTACTCCTTCCCTGTCCTGTATTTTTTCTAGTGTTGCGCTGTAAGAAAGTTCACGATGGATCCCAACCAACTGGCCCGACTTACCGTCTTACTGCAATGACAATTAACCCTCAGTTATATGCACCTGCGCGCTTTCATCTCGGCGTGTAACATGAGAGTGATTATTACTTATTCATTCAGCGAAAGAACGAGAGAGATCAGATGGAGCTTTGTCCTTCAAACACAGTAAAAAATAATAAAAATTCTTGAGCTCCGCCGTCAGCTCTGAATTTCGTCAGCGAAACAGTAGCCTTGGTCGACATTCCGATGAAGCAAGCTCGGATACCCGGCATGCGTAGGAATTTGCGTCGCAGCAGATTCACATGTGCGGCTATGTTCTAAGAAGTGTTTGTTTTTTTTTTTCTTTGCGAATGGCAACTTCATAGCTTAACTGCCCACATATAGAATAAACTTTTTAGACGAATTGGATTCGCGTTTCTCGGCAGACCAAAGGCGTGCTATTCAGATTCGCTTAAAGCACCTCAATGTAAGCCACACGCAAGGTGTGTGACTTATCGTCTAAGTGTGCAAGGCGTAATTTATGAAGCCTGTGGCAGCGAACTAACTCAGAACGTCACCAAAAATAAATTTAGTTGCAAAATGCCGGACTTATTACATTCTCCTTTCGTTGGAGGCAAGGGGGGAGGAAGGGTCACAGGGCGGTGAATGATATAGCTCAGGTCCAGTGCTTGTCAACGGGTGTGCTACAGTTGACTTGCCAGGGGAGGGAGAGAGGAGGCCCTCCTTAAAAAAAGATAGGGGGGCGTGCCTCTCTGGGCCCTTTCTAGCTTTAAGATCTGATAATACCGCCGCCGTCAATCGAACGCGCATGTACAGTTACTATTTCAATCACCACTGGCCACCATTATCGCCCGATCGAGCAAATGGCACAGCTGAAATTTCCACGCATCTCCACGAAGTGAATAATGACGAGTAGGCAAAACTCTGGGTATCGTATGGGTGAGTAACCGTACGTCAGCCGATCGTTGTTCCATATAATGCAATGGTAGTAGTCGGGCGATGAAAATCTTGTACTGCATGTATTTTATTAACTATAAAATATAATGGTATGTATCACATGTCTCTAATGTTCTAGTCTGATTCCTTCCTGAGTGATTGCTATTTAATTATGTAATGTAGTAAGTATGTTACAAGATTTGTATAATCAGTCAGATTCAATGTAACATGATATTTTTGAAGCTATTCTTTGCTCTGTTGCTTCTTTTGCTCATGAAGGTCTGGATGCCCCAAAAGGTGTTTTTTATTTTTATTTTTTTGATGTACGAAATGTGTACAACGGTGTTGGGTCCTCTGTCAGGCTATATGCCTTTCGCCCCAACATCCTTTTGTTTCTTGTGTCTTGTACAAGAAAACAATAAAACAAATTTTGAAAATTGAAATTTTGAAAATTGAAATTGAGTGACGTAAAGAGTCGACGACAAAGCTAGATCCTAAAGTTCGAAATGCCTACGTTGAAGTCGCCTACTCGCTTGGGACAGTAAGTATCTATTCACTGTTACGTTATTGCGTGTCGCTTAGGAGACGAAAAGCCCCACAAGCACAATAACGCTTGTGTTCGTGTGGGCAAGGCACGCAGTGTTTTGAGAAAGATTTCTTTGGTGAGTGGGGCTAAACCTGAAACCGGGCATGTCGTGAAGGGTGTTTCTGCTCACTGCCGCCTATTTGTTGGGCTCACTGGTGCCTCCTTCATTTCCTTGTGTACCGATGGGGTTTACCTGTTCAGACTCAGATGCTATATTTTATCTTGAATTACACGCAAGGAAAGTTACAGAAGCTAAAGGTATAGCAATACCTGGCAAACGGCATCTGCACCGATTTTAGAAAAAAACAGTTAACAGCAAATACATAGAAAATCGTTCGCAGGATTCAAAACTTTTTTAGCAATGTAGAACTAAACGACGAACAAAAAAAGAATAAGTTCACAATTCACAATACCTAGTGACCTAACTAGAAAACATTCTTTTACACAGAAGTACAAAATTGTGGCGCCTACCCGTTTTCATGATGGACAGTGACTACATCACACCGTGAGGACAGGAGAGAAGTCTAGCCCCTTCGCACTTAATTTTAAAAAATTACCGCTCTTGGTGACTGGGCTGGGAACCCACTGTGGGACGACCGGAGAGGGAGGGGGGGGCACGATTTTAAGCCCAGCCCCAGAACCATTTTACGTCTTTTGTACACACCTGCTAAAATCCCTCCAGGGGACTGCAGTAGCAATAAATAAATAAATAAATAAATAAATTTTATTTTATTTCTTCTATGCGCGACATGCATCTTTTGGTGTGAAGTGATTTTTGGTGAGTGCGTTACAAGTTTTATTTTTCATTTTTTTGTTGCGTGAATTTTTTTTTGGAGCGCTCGGGTCGAGTAACCAGCTCCACATGTGAGTCGATACAATTTCCGCTCTAAAAGGTGTTTCGAAGTGGCCGCGGTCTTTCTCGTGACTCCCTCCTGGATAAAGTAAGCTTTCGTCTAAGCTGGCTTCACGGCAACAAGATGCTTTGTGTGGTGAAGCCCAACAATTTTAGAAATGCTGGTCAACGCCTGAATCGTGTGCTCCAGACATTTATGTCGTTCCAAGGGTCACTAATCAAAGTTGGGTACAGAGACGACTACGACGTCTGTCCGGTTTGACAGCATTTCCAGGTTCTTATCGTCAGCGTAATTAAGCTCCTGACATACTCTTGTGTCGCG